GTTATAATCGCTGAAAGAATAGTTAATAAAGTCATAAGAAATAATAACGTTTCTTCCGCGATTTTAATTACTTACCCGATTACGAGATAACCGATCAATAGGGTATTAAAAACGACAGATCCGGTTTAAGAAGGAAGCGTTTAAATACGTCGTTTTAAAAGGTATTCTATAAAGGAAACGCGAGAAGTATAAGGACATACGACGAATTATCGATTAGGAAAAATTATGTAAAGCTATTATTAAGGATTACTACGAGGATTTCGGCTATAGGGAACGTATATCGACTTACGATCGGATAATTAAACTATATTATTAACGCGGTATATTCGAATACGTCGCCCGAGAGGTTAAATCATATCCTAGATATTAAAAAGGAAATAATATCCGGAAAGTCGACCCCGCTTTATATAACGAGTTAATTAATATTCTTACTTATTAAGTAATAAACATATAATATATATTAATAAATAACGGATTTATCGTAATAATCGAAGCACGAAACGAATTATCCGGTTTTCTCGAAGCCCGAGTCATTAGAAGAATAGATTCTAACACGATCGTTAAGTTCCTTTAAGAGTAGATATTCTTATAGTACGGCGTCTCCTTAGTAATTAAATATAATAATAATTCCGAGAATAAAAAGGAAGTCCGTAAAGTAATAGAGTTAATCGGTATTAGAATTAAAGTCGGTATTACTTATTTCCCGTAATCTTAAGAAGTAATCGAAGTTAAGTATAAAATAATTCGCGGAGGCCTTATAAAAGGTATAGATAATAATAATAGGAAATAAACGAACCTATTAAGGATAATTATATAGGTAGATAAGACTTCGACGCGTTTATACGAAATGTCGTTATACGAATTAATATATAAGTATAAGGCTATTATCTCAATTGAAACCGTTATCCTAACTTAACGTATTATAAACTAGAAGAATATTCCGGACCGAGAATCGCTTTTAATTATACGCGTACGATTAATCGAAAGACGCTAGGAAGATATCTTAACCGTAACTAAGGTTTTAGTAGCTAAACATAAGAAACCTACCCGGTATTAGGACGAGAAGAACGCTTACCGGATACGAAAAGAGCTTCTAAAAACCGACGACCTCGTATTATTATATGATACGTTACGATATATAAATAAATCGATAGCTATAAAACTAAAGTACTATTAAAAGAAACCGTATTTAATCGCCGAAGATTTAAATTATAGTCGTTATAAGTTTAAGGAAGGGGATAAAGTTACGTTATTATACCTGGTTTTAAGTCATAAACTACGGAAATTTATCGAAAATACTAACGGATTTTAGGAGCTAGAAAACCCAGAAGAAAACGAATAAAGCTTATACTTATTACTAATTATATATAAGGACTAGGAATCGACGATTACTAAAGACCCCTAAGCTAAAGAAGGCCTAGAGTTTATATCCTCGGTAATTAATAAAAAAGAAGAAGAATGATTAGCTCCGAACGATAAGGCGTGAATTATAGTAAAAATACTAAATAAGAAACTCGAAGGATACGAAGTTTTACCTAACGATAAACCCGGACTAAGAAGATCGATCCGATTATATAAATAACCTTCTTACTATAAAATAATAAGGCTATAGTACCGTAAAACGACCTGCCTATATCGATCGAAGAATAATAAAGCCTAGAATATAATATATAATTACTTTCTTAAGTAAGAAAGAAAAGAAGTTATTCTTATATGGTTATTAAACCGGTAGCTTATATACGAAATTAATACCTTAAATTACGATACTAATAAATACGCCCTTCCTTATTTCTTACCTTAAAAGAAAGTATATTTCTATAGATTATTAACGCCGATTAACGCGTTCTTATACTTGAATAAGTTATCCTTTACGTTTATCGTTAAGAATTTAAGATATTAATATCCTAATGTTACGAGATTATTACATTTTAATATGGATATATTTTAGCGTTTAAAGGGAAAGTAAGGAAAGTAATTCATATTGAGAAAAGTAAAAGTAAAAAGAAAGAGAAGGAATACGCGTTTAAAAATAAGCTAAAAGTAATATATACCAGCCGATTAATACCTTTCTTTTTCTCTCTATCTACTTACCCTATCCCTAACTCGCTAGGTATTAAGAAAACTAAAAACTTACTTACTTTTCGACCCCTAGAACGTAACGATCTTCGAGTTTATTATAATTAATAACTCGTTTTTCCTTACTCGTAATATAAGCGGATACGCGACCTAGCTTAAATCCTTTATTAGAAGGAGGTTACGATCCGTCCTCGCCCGTAAGTAAGTAAATCGCTCGTTCCGAAATTTATAACGTATCTCGTTAATAAAGAAAAGGTAAACGCCGTAAAAGCATCCGAAGATATAATCGAGGGCTAGGAAACGATAAAAAAAGAACGGTTATATATCCGCGTATTTAGCAGTATTAGAAGAAGCGAGCCGGCGTTCGTAATATTAATAGGGTACCTCGTTAAGTATCCTGTATTATTAAACGAATAAACTAACGACGTAACGAGAATCCGTCGTTAATCGACGGAAATATTCGCCGATCGGTTTATTATTATTAATTTCTACGAATAACGTTTAACGGCGAGAGGATTAGACGTAGCGGGCGAAGGGTAAAATATAGCTTTAAAGGTAGGTAACCTCTTAAAAATCCTTACTTAGGATCTCTTACGCGACGGGCCGGCCGGCCGTTAGTTTACCTAGAAAATAAAACCAAACGTTACGAATTATTTTATTATTAATTAATTTAACGTTTGATTAATAAATCTTATTAATATTAAGAGATATATATTTAGCGTTATTAGTTTATTACCCGAACTTCTTCGATACTTCGGAGTTACCGGCTAATAATTTTTTTCGGGCTTTGGTTTAGAGGGCGGGAATACGGGACGTAGGATACCTATTAAGGCTAAGAGATTAGCCGATTAATATCCCGGAACTTCTCGGTAGAAGGTAGTCGGCGGAACGATTCATCGGGTTATTTATTTATTAGCTTTACAGGCGGCGGTATCGATTTAATCCATTAATACGTCGCGGCTTTTTTCTTATCGTTTTTAGCCTTCCCGGCCGCTTCGGCGATCTCTTCATCGGTAATTCCCGTAGCCTTAAACTACTCGAGTAGCTTAAGGGCGGCTCTTTAGTTTAATTTTAAGAGTTCCTTCTAAAGAGCGGGGTTTATAGTATATATATATATATATATATATAAGAGAAAGAAAGGAATAACGAAATTATAAATCTAGAATCGAGAAAAATCGAAAAACGAATTAAAACGAAAATAAAAAACCTAAGGAGAGAAAGAGAGGAAATAAATCGGAACCGTAGAATAACGAAAAATAAGAGGAAAGGTTAAACGAGAACGAGAGAGTCGAATACGTTACTTAGGTTATAAGTACCGTACTTAGGAAAGCTTCGATAATACCTACCTTAGCTTACGTTTAATTACGAATCTACGAATGTACGTATTTATTACTTTACTAAGAGCATATAATAAGAAGTTATAAGTTAAAGTATCTCTTATTATAGTTCTATACGTATACGGGGGAACGCGCTTTCTTAAAACGTTAATCGTAAGGATATATCTAACTCTATCGTTAATACGTTTCCTTCCCTTTCTCTCTTCTTCTTCTTTAGGTATTATAGTAGTGCGGTAAGACATGCCCTCTTGATGCATTACGTAATACGTTACAATAGGCCTTATGCCTATATAAAGTAACTATAGCTCCCGTAAGTATAGGCTATGCTATACTTATTATCGAGTTTACTACTTAGCTAGATTACTATCTTTATCATTTTTACCTTAATTAAAGATTCGTTTTTATTATTAGATTCGTCGTTCTCCGATTAGTATATCTATTTTAGTTATAAGCGCTTAAGTTACTTCGTCGTACTACTATGACCGAATAAGTAACTATTACGCTTTGCTCCTTTTCTTTCCTTACCTCTTATATCTTCGGACTAGCAATTACTACATCTTTACGACCAAGGGGCATAGCTAAGATATAATAACTACATTAGATTCCTTATCTTTCCATTAATATAGTGATATTAGTTTTATCTATCTTAGACTATCGTACGTACTATAGTCTTTAATAGAGTATACTTTCGAGTAAACCTATCCGGGACTCTAGTATCGCGTACGCTCTGCTCCTCCTCATTACCTAGCGAACAGCTCCTGAAACCGTGACATTTATATAGTTAAAAATTATTAATATATAGCTTTTATATAATGAATAATTCTTAAAATCATATTAGCATTATTTCTTAAAAGGTTTATTTAAGAATTCATTTTTAATCTTACTACATTCTACTTTTGTTATTACTTTCTTATTAAGTTATTACTTTTTTAAGTAATAATTAATTCATTAATATTATATTTAGACTCTTGAAATTTTTTATATTTATTTTAAAATCTATGTACTATTTTCTAAACTTTTTAAGGAATATATCTTATTTTCAATTTAATAATTAAAATTACTAATAATTATTACTTAATTATAATTATATAGTTATTCTTAAATAGTTTAATTTCTTTAAGCTTTGTCATTTAATTATTATACTTTTTCTATTAATATAAGTAAATCAATAAATAAATGAATTATAATATTTAACTTTAGAATAATTTATATGTTACTAAATAAAAAGCGAGTTTAGGAAATATAGATTAATTATAATCTTTTAAATGCTTTCATATGTTATAATTTAAATAATTCATCTACGCTATTTAAGTTACAATAAGTAAGACTTACCTTTATTACTATATATAATCTCGTTTATATACTTATAATTATTAATAAGAATACTCTTCTATCTACTTTAAAGAATTTTTTTAATAATATATCAATATTATTTTGTATTTTTATAATAAAAGTTTTATTTTAATAATATGTATAATAATATTTATTTTTGGAAAAAAAGCAAATTAATATTAATTAAAGGCTGGCATTTCATAATTTCATCCTTTTAGCCGCTACTTATCAATGCTAATCACTTTCGAAAGGTGTGGGCTACTAATTCTCGGTGAGCTTTCGGCGTGGGTTCGGTATGGGTAGCACGGAGCTCCACACGTTAACCCCATGCCTTTAACGTCAGCCACCTTAAATTCCTACTTTCGATTTCCCTCCTAACCTCCTTGTATGATAGAAAGCTATGCATCCGCCGGCTCACATCGAGCGCCAATTCTCCGGATGCGTACTCTGTCAACCCGCGCCTTTCGCTCGGCGGCATTCATACCACTGAAACCCCAACAACTAGGTACACATCCCGGCCGATTCTTCCACAGCTCGCCCGTCACCAGAGCTTCTGGCCAAAACAACAGCGGGTCGCGCAATGACGAGGACAATCCAGAGAAAGAGAACGGGACGGTGGGCGGTGAGGATGGCTTTGAAGACCTATCCGGAGAGAACGGTACAGCGGCAAATGAAGAGGGTCAAGGGCGCAAGAAACCTAGCAGTAGATCCTTACGAGCGCGAGCTTTACGGAGTCGTAGGGCCCAGGAGTTCCCCCCTTTATCCGTACCGATGTCCTTTCTATCAACAGCCGTCCGCCATTTCAAAGATGGAGAACCAAATACGCAATTAGACCTTCATGTCTCTGGCCACGGCAAAGGACCCCGCATACTCCTGAAGAGAGTCCCATTCTCTAAACCGTCGGAGAATCCGCGAGAAGGTCATAGTGCATCTTTGTTCGATGCCGCGGCCTGGACGGAGGGATCCTTAAATGAGGCCGTCAAAACCTTAGAATCAGATCCAGAGGGGAGGTTCATCCTCAAGAGGGGCGACGCCTTAATTGCCGCTTCTTTCTGGGCAGTGGCACATCTGGCCAGAAAGGTTTCCGGAGAAGAGGCGGCGGCAACATTCCTCGAATCTAGCTCAGTTGCGAGTTCTGCGGATTTTCTGAAGGCCCTGCTGTACGCTAAGGCCGCGCATGATAATCCATTACTTGCGTCGAACCAAGCTCAACAACTAATCGATGAGCTGATCACCGACGCTCGCATAGAAGCCTCTGGTGTGAGTCTATATCCTGAGGAACTCATTGAGGAGATCGTCACATCCGTCAATGCCGACTTCATAATTCAGGCCCCGGAGAACGTGAAAGCTCCAGACATGCGACGCCCCATAACTATCATCAATACTCCTGACTGCTCGAGTTATCTTATATCACGCGACATCTTGCAGCATGTTGCGGTCCAACTGGGAGCCGACATCCTACACATGAGAGCCTGTGACATCGCGCACATTATCGGCTGTTATCTTGGCCAGGACATCGTCAGGGCACCCGGCGTGGTATCACGGCTGGGATACAAAGCAGCGGAGAACAGTGGAAAACTGAAAGTAAGTCACGCCACCGACGAGGATGGCGGTGAGTTGGGAACCACCCGACTACCTGACACTATCGTAGTAAGAGACGAAAGGCCGAAGAAGGACAACAAAAGATACACATCCCTAATGGATAATTTTCTGAATGGGTCGAGTCGGGGGAAAGGAGACGGGGTATGGGAAGACCTCAAAATCAACACAGCTCTCGAAGAGCTCGTCCATTCCGCCGATTCGGATTCCGCTGAGCAGAGACCACTCATCGTCCACGTCGATGATTTCAATGCCCTCAGTCTGGATGCAGAGTGCGGTGCGATGATCGTAGGCAAGATCCGAAAAGTCGTTGATGGGCTTTGGGCGGATGGCCGAAAAATCGTCTTAGTCGGATCGTGCTCTACGAAAGGAGCGCCTAGGCTTTATCTTAGCGGACTACGCAGGCTAGAAGCGGTAGACCGAGTTGTCACCCTTCGTGCCAATTCCTCTTCGAAAATAGTTGCATCCCTTATCAGCTATTGGGAGACCGAGACCTACATTAGGGAGAACGAAGAGAACATCGTCAGGATGCTATCGACACTAGTTGAACAAACTCTCAGAGGCAGAAAAACGCCAACAAGTAGTGGTTTGATCGGAATGACTGAAATAGATCCGAGAAAACTGCCAGAGTCATGGACAAACAGTATCTTACCAGTCACCGAAGTGTACCGCATCGCAACCATCATGATTGGCAACTCTAAGGACCCGATCAACGTATTCAGCATCGAAGCTCTTAAGAAAGCCGCCCGCGTGATCCGAAGGCTTGAGCTCCTGAAGACGAACTTGTCGAGTATCGGTTCCCTTAGGGATAGTAACCAGCAAAAGGAGCCTAGGGGATTTGTTGACGTGCGCGAGTCTAATGACCTTGACGAGGATCACGAAGAAAGGCTTAGGTCAGGCCTCGTGAACGCCGAGGACATCCGAACGACATTTAAAGACATACACGCTCCCAGCGAGACGATCGAGTCAATCAAGATGTTGACTACGCTCTCTTTGATCCATCCGGAAGCCTTCTCCTACGGTGTTCTCGCTACCGATAGGATCCCTGGCTGCCTCCTATACGGCCCACCCGGCACGGGCAAGACGCTACTAGCCAAAGCGGTGGCCAAGGAGAGCGGTGCAAATATGATCGAAGTGAGCGGGGCGAGTATCAATAACATGTACGTGGGCGAGAGCGAGAAGAATGTGCGAGCGCTGTTCGGACTTGCCAAGAAAAAGGAGCCAATGGTAATCTTTATCGACGAGGCGGACGCGTTGCTAGGCGCGCGGGGCAGACGTGACGTGGGAGCGCGGAGGGAAACGATCAATCAGTTTCTGCGAGAGTGGGATGGCATGGATAAGACAAAGGCGTTCATAATGGTAGCGACGAACCGGCCATTCGACCTGGACGAGGCTGTGTTACGGCGGCTGCCGCGTAAGCTACTGATCGACCTACCACTGGAGCGGGACCGAGCGGCGATCCTACGAATTCATCTCAAGGAGGAGGTGCTGGAAGAGTCGCTGTCAGTGGACGAGATCGCGCGGCGCACGCCATTATACTCGGGATCGGATCTGAAGAACGTGTGCGTGGCGGCAGCGATGGCGGCGGTTAAGGAAGATCTGGGGCTGGAGCTGCAGCAGGGGACAGGGGGCCGGGGAGCGGCAAATCAGGGATATCCGGAAAGAGACAGGACGAGAAAGATAAAGAAGCGGGTGCTCGGGCAGAGACACTTCGACAAGGCGCTGCGAGAGATTGGGGCTAGTGTCAGCGAGGACATGGCGACACTGACGGCGATCCGTAAATTCGATGAGAAGTACGGGGATGGGGGCGCTGGGCGGCGTAGAAGGCGCGGGATGGGGTTTGAGGTCGCGAGAGCGACTGGAAAAGGGTCGGCCGTGGATACAGACGTGGACGTGAGAGGCGCGAGGGTCAGGAACGGACAGTAGGTCAGCGAAAGACGGAAAATCAATGATAAATATAGTAGTTACATACTAGTCTACGAGAATCGAGGGTTCGTCTAGAGACCAGGTTGTCGATGTTTTCTGTATAGTCGCGCCTGTTCCGTAGGTATATGCGAATGCTATTGCCGGGGATATGTAGCACTTATAGCCTACCCGTCATATCAAACTCACAGCCCTGTGCACGGTGTACTCTAGGCGTCAACACATACGGGGTCAACTAAGTAAGTAGCACATCGATAACAGGAGGTGGGTGGGTGGGTTATATGCACCGCATTTTGAAAGTTACTACCGTTCTCCTCTCTGTCCTCCGCCTCCCCTCTCTATACATTTCTTAAGACGGATTTTATTATGGGCTGTGCCTATTATAGGGCCCTGGCTAGTACTAGGGTATGGTACGTAATTAGGCTCTTAGTACCTACGGAGGATAAGGCTAGCTATTATAAATACGGCCTATAAAGTATACTTTCCCTTTTATTTTCTCTTCGTTTAGCTTTAAATCGTTAATATACGGCTTTTATTTAGCGAATAGCTTTTAAAACTATAATTATTACGTACAGGTGGCTCTTTAGGTTGCTCCTTTTCGTTGCTTACTTTAGTAATAGGAGCTCCTATATATTCGCTCCCGTTGTCTTCTATTCCTTTAGCTTGTTCTTAGATAGATTTAAGACCTTTTCTCTCCTTTCGCTCCTCCTTCCGTTGCTCGTGAGATAGCTCTCTACGTGCGCTCTCGCGCACGTAGCTCCTACTGATAGCTACGTGACAATAATAAAAAGCTAAACCTTCTTTTAATTGTTTTACGAAATTAGTATTTTAACGAGCGAAATTAATAGTAAGAATGGCGAAGTAATATCTAGAGAAACGGTAGTTAGTAAGTTAATAATCAGAAAGGCGGTATTAGTCTTTAGATATATACGCTGGTAATACCTACGAAAAAGAACTGATAAGAAATAGTAACGATTTAAAAGTATATTAACAAACGAGATCAATAATAGGAAAGGCGATATTAATATAGTAAAGTTAATAATCAGAAAAGCGGTATTAGTTTTAGATATACGTACTAGCAGTATTTATAAAGAGACTTAATAAGATAAGTAACGAATCAATATCTTAACAAGCGGAATTAATAATAGGAAAGGCGATATTATATTTATAGTTAAGTTAATAATTAAAAAGGCGGTATTAACTTTTAGATAGACGCGCTGGTAGTAATTATGAGAAAGGACTGATAAAAGATAATTAAGAAATAATCGATAACCTGAGAAAACGTAGATTTAAACGGTAATTTCGAGAAAGATACGATATAAATACGTTTAGAAATATTTATAATCGACGAAATCGGTAGTTAAAAAAGGCGAAAAAAATTTTCCAAAAAAAAGATAATGAAGCGTTAGAATATAGCGCTTAGTTAAGTTAAGCCGCATTCGAAGCACGAGAAAAGAACGCCCAAGGCGTGATATAAAAAAGGAACAGCGTCAAAATAACGACGAAACGATAAGTTTAATTAGGATAATAATCCTTCGATAAAGGCGCTAAAAGCATTAATAATAAACGAAAGAGCGCGTTTTAACGCGTTTTTAAACGGAGTCTTTGAACTTCGTCAATAGAAAATAAATGAGGATTTTTAAACAGGGTAAATAGACCGACGATTTCGTAGCTATAAGAGTTAGGCTAGACTTAAAAAACGCTTATATATGACTTCATATACGGAGCTTTAAAGCTTTACGGTTTAATAAAAGAACCGAGATAGCAGCTTTAAGAAAATAATAACACCTTAGGAAAAGAAAAAAAGCCCCGGTAAGTAATAATATCCCAAGAAACGGAGATAACGCTTCGGGAAATAGTAATATCCCAAGGAATAAAAATAATAACCCGGGGAACGGATAACTTATCCTAAGAAAGGAAAGGTAGCTTTAAAGAAAGGGTATACCGGGGGATTAAATAATACCCAAAGCGTTAGTAATATCTTAAGAGGAGAAGGATAAGAGGAAGGCTTTCTGGGAAGAGTAAAATACTAAAAAAGGCGTATCCCGGTAAATTAAGGCCCCTGGGAAGATCTACGGAGGAAAAGGAGAGGATTCTAGGATATAATATAACCTCTAAGAAGGAAAAAAAACCCCTAAGGAGGTAGTAATACCTTAGGAAGAAGAGGCAATTATTAGAAACCATAGTTGGGAGGGTACCAACAGGTACGGGTCAGAAGATACAAGAGGGGAAGGTACGGAAGTACCAAGTAGAAAATGGTATTTCTACTTTCTATTACGCGAGCGCCGCCTTTCTTAGAAGGGCGCCCGTAAGAAAGAAGTTTTAAGTTATTTAATTATAAAGATCTATATAAGATTAAAGAATATCTCCTTTTTCTTAAGTAGCTATTTCTTTAGTTCTTTAGTTATTAATTTTAAGTATTATAGTAGTGTGGTAGATCTAGACTACGTAACCTTCTAGATGCATATTTATATAGCTCGCGCATTCATGTTTTCATTAGTTAGACTTAGACCTGTAGGTATTACGACCTAATAGCTCTATTTATTCCTTTTACTATGCCTTTCTAGCTATCCTTATTGCCCTTCCCTTTTTAGTCTTTTCTTAGCTACCGTTTTTAGCTAGCCGATTAACCGATTACAGTTGTTTATAGCTATGATTTAGTTTGATCGGTACTAGGCTAGTTGTTAGTAATTAGGTAGCCGTTTCGTGCCTCCATTATAGCGTACCTACGTTACTCCTATTTAATAGCAACTACTTAGTAGCTCGACCCTACTTTATCTTAGGAGTGACCTTTTACGACCGTTTTATAGTTAATAGATTCAGGATACGTCGATTAGGAAATTCTCTAACTTTCAATTAATTAGGAGCTGTTTTCGTAACTCCAGAGCCGTTTTCGTAGCTTTTAGCCTTAGCTTTTTTGGTTAAGATTAATAGGGAGGGTAGATAATTATAGCAACTGTTATAACTACGCCCTCTCATTAGCTTTTAATTAACTTACCTGAAAGCTCGTTCGCGGATTAGTAAGAATCCTTATCCTCGTTTCTTAGTTGTTTCTTTTAAAGGAGTGTTACGTAGCTAACGAGAGCTAAGCTTAGGTTGATAGGTTATTCGCAAAGGGAGCAATGGAATGCGGGTAAGAAGGTATATATTAACTAACTAGAAAAGAAGGAAAGCTACTAGAGAGTATGGAGTAATTTATAGGTATATATAGTAGTACTCGACTAGCTTAGGTAAGCTAGGTAGTTCCTACTAAGAGTATATGCTTACGTAATATATCCCTTAGTTAAGCTTACGATAGTAAGGTTAATTATAGTCCTTTACTTACGATAATAGCCTAAAGGGGTTATTCCTTAGTCTCGCTATACCTCGTTAAGGTTAATCGACTACTAAGTACCCTATCTCGGGCTCCCCTATATCCCCTTATCCGTATATGCTCTGGTTTATTACTAGTGGTATTTTCTCTTAAGTTATATATTCTTCGTACCTCCTACTTAGTACTTTATAGTTTATTATAAATAAAAATAATTACTCGCGTAATTATTCGTATAATTATCTATATAATTACTCGCTTTCGATTAAGCGGTAATTAGTTATATAGGTAATATAGTAGTAGTAGTAATAGCTCTAGTATTAATACTAGGATTTAATTTCCTTTATTACTATCGTACGCGTTTACGCGCGTTACTTATATTAACCGATTCTATCGTTTCTCTTACGAAGGCGGTTAAGTATAAATATATCTAGGATTTCTCGCTCTCGAATTAAACGTACCTCTCTTTTTCTCTTTCTTCCGTAAGTCATTCGTCGTAGGTATATATACCTAACTATAATTAAATAATTCCATTAATTACGCGATCGTAAGCTAATATAACTAATAAAGCTTTATTAATTTATTATCGTAAGATAAGTTTACTTCTTTTATAATTTACGTAAAGCGTAACTCGCGTATTATACGAATTATAATATACTTTTATTAAGCGACCGTAAGATAGTAACTCGATTTATTACGATAAGGGTTATTATTTATAATTAATATATTATTCTTAATATTAAAATATCTTAAGATAATAAAGCGATCGTTAATTACTTTATATTAATAAGTAAGAAATTATTCGAAATAATCCGTTTATTATTTACTTATTATTTACCGGTAATAATATAATACCGTAATTAACGATCTTTTAATATATCCGATACTTAAAAGTTTCGTAAGATTATGCTAGCGCTTTAAGGTATCGTAGCCTCGCTAAAGTAAAGGATACTCGGCCTTTCTACCGCGAGTTCTTAACCTATCTCCCGTATTCGTACGGGGGATAGTATTAGAACTTCGGCCGGTAGTTTCGCTCGCCGCGGAAGGATATCCTTTACTCCCGGGTCCGGGGCCTTAGTTATCGCTTAGCCCTTTAAGGACCTCTTTATCGACGAAAGCGACGTCGATATAATCGTATTTAGCTTCTTAACGTAACGTACTTAAGCCTTAATTATTCGCGTCCTTTAGGATATCGTATCTCGAGTTATTAAGATCTTTACCGACGAATTCTTTAAGGAAAAGTCTTCCGAGGAAGACTTCTTTTCTTTATACGAAGAAGTAATTAAAGAAAGCGACCGTCCGGTTATACCGATTATTCGTAAGGTTTTCCTACATAAAACCTAAGCCTAAACTCGCGTATATTAGATTACGTTTTTTAATAATATCGTTATTATTCGGGTAATCTAGGCGATCGTTAATATTATTATTCCGACCCGTAGTAATATCGTAAAACGAGAACGAGAATAAGAACGAATCCGTAGCGCTTTCTCGGTTTCCGGAGCTATTACCGCTTTTATTACTTCCTTTAGCCCGGCCGCTTTAACGGTTCCGTTTAATCCTTCCGTAACGCCGGTTACTTTAGCTCTTATTACTTCCGTTATAAGAATTACTTCGGCCTTTCGTAATCGAAAATACGGAGCTCGACGTATAATTTCTTACTTTATTTATATACGTAATACGGTTTAAAATAAATTTATTAAAAAGTATTTCGATTTTTTTTAAAATATAAGCCGTTACTATCGTTATTTATTCGGCTATACCTACGTATTCCTATAGGTATTCTTATTTCCGTACGTCGAGGTTTAAAGCTAATATTATATAAGGCCGACGCTTTTATTCTATCGGTTACTTACCTTATCGTCGCTTATATCGAATCCTTAGTTAATATATAAGCTTTATTTTACGTTAATTAATATTCGCTAACGTTACTTATAAGCTCTTAAGCTTATTACGATAATAAAGAAGCTCTTAATTCTTTATTAAAACGGAAAGTAAATATCCGCGGTACCTGAAA